ATGCCACATCCTGTCCCCTCCCAGCCCACCCTCACCCTAGGCCCCAGACCTACTCACCTTCCAGAGTCCCCACCCCTGACCACAGGCCACTGGGCAAAGGGCAAATGAGCCCACAGGAAAAGCCCCCAGGGGTTCCTGGCCCAGGTTGAAGAGTAAGCCTGAGCTCTCAAAGCTGCCTGGGAGTCAGGATCAGCTTCTCCCCTCAGCCTCCAACAGCAACCCAGCCCCACTCATCCCTCGACTAGGGACCCCCACCCCCAGGAGAGGCCTGTCAGAGCAGTGTCAGCCTGCTCTGCTACCCCCAATCCCCCAGGCTTTCTCTTCTTGTCCAGGGTTCTGTCATGCCCACATGGAGACCCTGGACTGGGAAGAATGGCCCAGCTGCCTCCTCTCTGAGCTGCTCTGGCCTCCTGGGGGTCAGGGGAACTCCTGGAAGGCAGACCATGGGGCCTTTTATGAGCAGAACCTATACCTAGCAGACCTGAGACTCGAACCCAGATTGCCCAACTCCAAAGCCTTCACTCCTGACCACTCGGCTCCCCAGAATGGCCAGAAATGGAGTGGGATGGACCAGTCAGAGACGAAGTGCCTGTCCCAAGCCTGTTCAGATCCCCAAGGAGCCTGCTTCTCCTTCTCTGAGTAAAGCTCCCTAACAGTCCTCAACTTTCAGCAGAGTGTGAGCCTGGGGGTCTCAAACTTGATCCTGCCTCAGAACCATCTAGAGGGCTGTTGACAGGTGCCTGGGCCCCACCCCAGAGGTTCTGAGTCAGTTAGACCTATGGTGGGACCCAAGAACATGCCCTTTTGCCAGGTTTCCAGGCCACACAGGGCCCAGATAACTCTCAGAACCACCAGCCTGAGCTCTCGGGCCTTAGCGGCAGACTGTCCAGGTCCATGTGCCGAATCTCTCGGCTCCCACCTGTGTAGCCTCCAGAAGGTCACCTTGTCATGGCTGCTCCTCCACAGGACCACATAGCATTATTTTGTGGAGATCAGATGAAATAAAGCACTCAGAACGATACCCAACACCTAGGAAGCTCTCGATACTTGTCAGCTATCATTATTAGTTCTCACAACCACGCTCAGGGCAGGCCAGCTCGCCCCCAAGGCCCAGGGCCTCTCCTGTCCACTCTGTCCCACCTTAACTCTCCTGCTCCACCCCTCTTGGGTCTTGCAGGGTGCCGACAAGGGAGCAGGAGTCCATATGAAAAACCACAGGCCTCAGCAGTGCAAGAGAAACTTTCCCCTCCTGCCAGCGATCATTTGAGCACCATCCCCTTTGCCCCCACCCCTTCCCCATGCCAGCTGGAGGTCGGCCACAGGGCAACGCTTGCCAGCGATCAGATGCCTTCAGCTTACTGGTCAAGATGCTTTCTGAGAGCTAAAAATTTCCAAAAACCCCTCCTGACCCAAACACTCGAGCTATCCTGCAGTGTTTGCAAACACAGCTCAGCATGCCTGTTGCCCCTCCTTGGCCCTCCACCCCAGCTCTCCTGGGATCGAAGTCCTGTTTCTCTGTTTCCCAACCACTGCCAGTCCTAGGGCTACAGAGAATGAAGAAGGCAAGGGACTGGTAACATGAAGGCAGAGTCCCCTGTGGTCACCCTTGTCTCACACTTTGTAGGCTGGGGGCATCGGAAAGCCCCCTAACCATGCACTGGTAACACAGCTGGCACCCCCGGGACCCTCTGGAGGCAAAACTCTTGGCCTCCATTTTTGCTTAGTTTTTGGCCAAGACATTTCTATACCCACTACACACATATACACACAAACACAGCATCCTTGCATGCCACTCTTCAGGACATCAGCTCCGAGAGGGACCTGTCCCTCCATTTCACAGATGGGGCCATTGAGGCTCAGGGAGGTCTGACCCACCTATGGCGAGGTTCATGGCAGGACGGGAGCTGGCTCCCAGGTTTGTGAAGACCACAGGTTTGCCAAGCCCACTGTCCAGGGCACCTGGTTGCCCGCGCCTTGGTCCCCAGACAACCTACAGGCAGGGTTAGCTGGTGCCTCCCTGTAGGTGTTTCTCTGATGCCCCTTAGGTTGGCAGCAGAAGGATGAAGCAGAGAAGCCCAAACAGGGACAGCCCCCTCTGTCTGGCCCTGCCCACTACCCAGTCCCAGGAAACAGCCTGGAGCCTGAGGTCCCCAGGCTTTCCAAAATGAGGGTGAGCTGGGCTTGGTGGCTCAGCTTGTAATCCCACGCCTTTGGGAGGCTGAGTTGAGTGGATTTGCCTGAACCCGCGGGTTCGAGACCCGCCTGGGTAGGCGAGACCTCATCTCTACAATAAATAAAAAAAAAAATCAGCCGGGCGTGGTAGTGCGCGCTTGTAGTTCCAGCTACTTGGAAGGCTGAGGCGGAAAGATCGCCGGACCCCAGCAGGTCAAGGCTGCAGTGGCCGGGAGTGGCCACCGCACTCCCGTCTGGGCGACAGGGTGAGACTCCAACTCAAAAAGAAAAGAAAAGAAAATCAAAATGAGGGTGGATGCACACCCCTGCCAGGGGTCTTCCAGAATCCCCCTTTTCTCCAGGCAGGACAATGTCAGCATCCAGCCCGGGAGCAGGTGACAGGGTTTGGACCTAGCGTGACCTAAAAGCCAAATCCTGCTCTTTGGGAACACTTCGACTTTGGGGTCCCAAACACAGGAGTCTGGAGCA